CTATGCAGGCAACTTATTAACTAACTGGCTTGCTAAGTTAGTGACCTCCGATGTCGGACAAGCCCTTAAGACCGCGGCTCATTGTTTGTTTGCATGGCTCGGCGATGCGCCTGTCATGTGTATGGACCGCCTGGTTTGATCCGCGCTAATGCACGAAAGGCAGTCGCCGACGGTGGTGGCCAACCTCCACTTGAAAGTCAATGGCGCCATGCGTCAGCGCCAGTCATGGCGTAATGGTTGATGTTACGCGATCGAAATGCAGAGATCGTCGTCTGCCCAGAACGTGCAACGTCGCTCCTTCATACATACACAGCTCCCTTTTGGCAAAACCAACAACTGAAAAGAACTCAAGGACTTTGGCTCCAGTAGCAAAGCTTCGGGGCAAATGCGGATTAGCGATACAAATGACTTCTCCGATAACAGCCACAGCTGTACCAGCAGTAGCGGCAACAGCACGAAGAATAATAGTCTGGACAACAATACGAGACGATTTGCGTCAATAGCGGCGACCGGATGTGGCTTAGCGCCCAGCGTGCCCAACCCATATACACACGCCAACAGACGAACTGGCAGACACCCAGGGCTGGAAAAGCTTGTACGGTGACGCCAGACGCCAGTGACCCTGTCTGGGCGATCTAGTGATGATGAAATGAACGTGCGATTTAAAACTAAACCGGAACACCAGTTGACGTCCATGACGTCTGCAACGTTTACGTGACGGTGATGTTTTTGTGCCATCTGCGTTGTGTTAGGTTTGCGCGCTACTCTTTTTTTCACTTTTGCTATTAGCATAGACTTTTAGTATGTACTCGCAGTAGAAATATGCCAGGTTCACCTATTTTACTTCTCCCGACTATCGCTGTACATCATGCACGGAGGCGACAAAGCAGTAGGACGACGCGTCAGGTTGACAGGATTCGAGAGTTGTTTCAACATCGGCGCCCGTGTCGTCATGAATGACCTATGCGAATGCCTACCTCTGACTGAGAGAAGCTGACCGTGGGTAGTCTCAAAGACTTACGACGAAGTGCCGGTATTTAGAAATAAATGAATTGTAACATTCTAGTCGCGGCCCTCTATTCGTCAGTGTACTTTGTTTTGCATCACCTGAAGAGAGACTTATCTCCATCTCATTTCCTTGAACGCATATTCGCTAGCTATCTCGGTAAACCCCTCACTGAACGGTTGTGGGTAACCACAGTATTGGAAGTGGCGGCTGCGAGGCCGTCGTGCCATTGGTGACACACCTGCCTTTATTGTTGGAGCATATGTGTAATCTTGCAAGGCGAACCGTATTCTGGGACGAGCCTCGCGTCGTTTACAAATAGCGGCCTGGATAAAGGGCGGAGTCATGATAAATATTGGCGTTTCTGACTCAGACGATCGAAATGAGTTTCGAGCCGTCGCAACGTCATAAGCAGCGGCAGCATTGGGGTGCGACTGCCCGACGCGCCCAACAAGAGCGACGAATGACTGAAGAGAAAGACAAAATGAAGACGGAGCGGAAACAGCAGCAGCCGAAGGGCAAAACGCTTAATGTAGCCCGTACTCACGACGCTTTGACGTTAGCTTTCCCCCTACAAAGGAACTATAATGCTGTGACTATTGGCAGATGGCTTTGGCAACAGCAGACTTTCCGTATGTGTTCGAGTGCTCTGATACTTCAAAGGAGCAGCGAAGAGTATTTTTAGGTAGTAGTTTTAGCTACAGAGATATTTAGTTTTCGATTCTCAGTAACACGTTAGAAGGCTATCGATGATTTTTTGCAGTTCCTAGATACCTAAACGCGAATACTCATATTCATGATAGAGTCTACACTTTTACCATTAAGAGACAATTGTGAAGAAAGGAGTTGAATGGAGATGAGTGTCGGTCGGTAAAGGCGTAGGTATCGGTACTCAACCAGTTGTTCTGATAACCTAATCTATCTTTTGAGAATCATGGGTATCTGTGAGGGAAATCCACACGCGTATTTGTTTTGTTGAAAATGTAGATGAAAGAAGTTCGCATGTCTCCAAATAAACTTAGACAAGCGTGTCACGCTGAAGCCTAGAAACATCCTTATATAAACTTTTCCGGTTATTTTTTAGAATAGGTACGAATCGCAACACGATGCAACAGCTTAAAAGTTCCGTATTTTTAGAAAAGGAGTTTAAATTGCTGGGGGGGGGGGGGGGAGCTTAACTGGCATTTTATATCGATTTGGTTTACAGTAACCACGACTACCTACACTTACATTGTTTTTTTTTTGGTGATGTTCTCCAGCAAATAAGCCTATTCGCGAGACTCCCAGCTGGCTGATTTTACTGCCATAGATAAAGCCAACTGAAGAGATTCAATATCCTGCTCCGTATAGTTCAGCGTTAACTTTGGAAATCCTAACAACAATTTGACCATGCTTAAATCTGATCTCATACACACGCAGTACTCGATATGAGCTAGTAAAGAACGGCAAGAGGCTCTCAAAGACAAATATGCTTGAGTACTCGAAAATTTACCCCTGTACTGCATATCATTTCGAAGGCCTTCAATGTTAAGGACCTCGTTCCAGTGACCGATATTGCATAGGCCAGCCAGGAATCGCTCTTTTGTTATGGTTAAGACTTCGACCGTTACGTACAGTTCACGAGATGAATGACGTTTGTGTAGTAAAAACAGATATTCGTTGTTGGGGAACTGTAGTTTCTTGGCGGACAAGTTTGCCGTTTGCGGAAGATGAATATCTATGTGACGCCGATCATTCAGCAGCGACTTGGTCCTAACAACGATTCGATCCGGGCTCGCTTTTTAACGAAAGGAACCAGTAATACAAATAAAATCGGCTAAGAAGGATGTGTAAATTTAATTATATTTCACAAATCCCGCAATCTGCGACGGCTTCCATTATTAATTCATTTGGCAAACTTGCTTCTATTGGAGTGATTTTACAGGTATCGTCCTTAACAATCACATACTTGAATATCGGTGAGTTCTCCTGCTTCCATTTGTCTTTGGTACCAAATCCTTGCCAGCTTCAGATGGCACCGTAGTCTACTATCCATGCCATAGAATGCCAGCTACGTAATATAATTGGCTAAAGAGTACTATAATTGATTTTACAAGATAATTTTCACCTGTGGTCCTACGTTAATGTCAATCCTATGTTAATGACCTCTGGTGGTCATTAATTTAGGATTGATGAACGTCAGAGGCGGGCGTCGATCTTGAGGCAGTGCTCATCTGCGGCCCAACCTGACAAAGTCGTTGAATTACACTCAGGAATTATCTAAAGCGTGGTAGGCTTGTATCTGCTATGATTGCGTCCACTAGAATGTTTCTTTTTATCGTCATTTCTAATTCCTTTGTACATGGTTTGTTTCACCCGAACTGTTTTTAAATAAGCATTTTCGCAAGTTTTCGCGAGTTTACACGATTTGCGTGTGGATACTGACAGAGATAAGGCGACAACTTCACGGAGAGACTGGCAGAAGAGCCTGGGAGTGGTGAGGAAATAATATCTGATGTTTTGTTACACTATACGGAAAGCTCTGCACGATGCTTCATGCAATCGAATGTTGGCCGTCGCTGTGCTATTGACTTTAGAAACTGTTCGTGATCCTGCTGCTTCCTTCTTCACCAAATAAGATAAGGCTACGGGAAAGGAGTGGAAAGTCTGCGTTTACCCGTGGCCAACTGAAGTGAAATGTCTGGGAGAACAAAATGCGAAAATCATGATGTCGAAGAAGAGTTCTATCGACAAATTTTTCCATATACTAAAACGGAGGGGGTACAGCTGTATTAATCAGCCATACAGAAATGAATTCTTTGCTAATACATAGAGGCAATAAGACAACCAAGCGACACAGCCCTCGCCATGATGATCGCCGAGAACTATCACCGTATCGACTTCCTTTTTCTAGCGTTTTGCCTATTGAAGTCTCCAGGGGATACGTGGCCGGTCTGTGGGTTCAGTAAATACGAATTCGACACCCCTTGTCCCGTGTGGGGTTACGGTGACCAGAAAAGGGATCTAGCAGCCGCGTTCGTTGTGAACAACATCAAGGTGAGTGGGCTAACTTATCCAATGAATCAATTTTTAAGGGTTTGACTTCAGTGGCCACATGCGGTCATCGTCTGGTGTACGATACGGTGCGCTGTTTTTTTCCGTGCCTTTCGAGGCAGAGCAGTACTTGTATTTGACTCGTATGAGCGAAGTCTTTGACAGTAAACCTTTGATTACATAGCTACATACAAGGCATTTAATACACAGGCTAATGTATCAGAATAGAACTTCAATAAAAGAATATAAAAATTGTCCGAAGTTCGTGTCTCGAATAAGACAAAAAAATTCCTAGTTCTCAACTATGTTCTAGCTAGTTTTGTTTATTTCTTGGCCAACCAAAGGATCAGCTATAAGCGTACAACAAATAACATGTGCACTTCTTAATCTTCTACGCATCTTTGAAAGAACGAAAAGCACACGAAAGCCACAAAAACGCACGATAAAAAAAAAAGTCCTGCAGGTGAATATTTCGATATGTGCCTAGCGGTAGCACCTATTTATCCTTTTCCCTTAGACGTACTTGTTTCATTTTACATACGCCAGACATGTTTCCGTATTAATTATAATATGATTATCTAGTTAGTAATATATTTATTCACTATAGACTACTTGCTGCTTAACTGCAACCTATTCGCTGCTCAAACCGGTACACGAAATAACGGTATTACTGAATGAGAGATCAGGAGCTGGTCCTTCGTGCCTCGTTCAAATCGAAACTAGAATCAATTAGAAAAGTTCATCACTACTTATACGATCGTAAGCCTCTGCAATAGTCAAAATTATTTTATTTTACTCAATATAAACATCATTCAGCAGAACCTTTGCTATGAATTTTTACTCTGTTCAATATGTGTGCTCCTAGATGTCTAACTGTTTCCGATCGGACCTGTTCTCCTGGTTATATAGCTGTGTCTTCGATTATGCTTGTCGTACGTGTCTGCTACGAGATAATACCAACCTTCGGTTAAAATGCGCAAAGCAGCGAGGAATGATACAAGGGGCACCATATCAGTTTTGAACATGACGCCCGCGACCGCCCAAACTACTCATAAGACTGGGGCGCACCGTACGCTCCAGATGGTAGAAAGCACGTCCTTTCCTTTACGACGTTAGGTGCTACTGGGCTTTTTTCGTGTTCGATATATTTTTTTCGCAGCAAATGGTCCTCGAGGGGGTTAGCTATGATGGGAATAACGTAAACAAAAACTTCAGTCACTTTCTTTTGTATCATTCAGTTTCTCACAATCGGTCAACGATGTGCTTAATCACCACTCGTACAATAGCAGTTGTCACTGAGAGCCAATTTTGTTCGAAGTGAAGATAGAGTTTATCTTGGCGTAGAGTCGGGAAACTTCAGACGTCTTTCTGCACTTAAGAATCCAAGCCCAAGTCATCGAAACAGTTGAATGTTCAACCAATGAAACACACCGAAAATGAGGCACTATTCGGTAGCATCGAATTTGCGATCTGGCCCTTGAACGATTGGACAACCCGCACCAAAGAGCTGTGCGTCACTTTCACGGTTGACTTCGACAGGGTTTCTGTGCCGGCGATGTTATGCTATTGGTATTGGGATGCCTTACGCAGCCTACACAGATGACTCTATGCAGGCCTTTTCCCTCGGGCACGACCACAAGAACCGGGCACACAAATACCGACTGTAGCTATGCGATGTGAGCTATCCGGCAGTCGATGCGAGAATGTTGGGATGAGCTAATGGTATCTATGCATGGCTCGGAGATGATGGTAGACGATAGCATGCGTACCCGACGGCCCGTGGGGTCGACCCACCTGCGAGCTCCTTTGCCAGTACCTAGCGAACACCCTTTCCACCTGTGCAGAAGCATAGTTCTGGACTGCATTTCACGCTGGATATCTCGTTGATTTCGGATGAGCCAGATGACAAGGATAAGGACGAAAGCTGAAGCTGAGAGAACGTGTCGGGGTGGCCACGCGTCAGCTCAAATACAACAAACATTAAGCAGTTGGCACACAGCGGCCGGTTAACGCCAGCGCGCTCGCTCTAAAACCGTGTCTAGTCACGACAGTGGCGATGACAACAGCTCTGGCATCGGGCAACAGTGAAACAGTGTTTCCGGTTTCCATTCTAGACTGCCCGCTGTGGCCCGTTCATCGTTGGCCCTTTCTATCATCACTACTACAACAAATAATGTAGCGTTCACTCGCCAGCAGCTGGCCACAGCCTAATGATGGTTGTGGCTTGCTGGTGAGTCCAGAGCACTTATCAACATACATGAGCAACACATGAACACGCTCATACAAGCAGACACACACCAACCAGCACAACTATTCGTTCCGTTCATATCGATATGGACAGAGCCACACACTACTAAGGCAGAGCACCGTAGTCCCTATCGAGAGAGAGAGAGAGAGAGTTGGGGGTTTAGATAGGGGAAGCGCAACAAGCGCTGCAATCGTTCTATAGGCCGCCACACATATTGGTCACAGCAATATTGCTTGTCGTCGCGGCAGCTCTTGTTGCTGTTGTTGTTGTTATTATCATTGTCGATATCGTTATTGTTGCTGTTGTTGATGTGGTAACCACAACTGTTGATAAAGTCATTGATTCTGCTGTTAGATAAGAGGGCGCAACGGTGCCCACATGCGGTACTTGATGCACGGAATAGCGAAAGAGAGAAATGAGAGTAGCAACGAAAAAATAGGAAAAAAAAGGGAGCGTGAAGACTTAATAAAACCAAGTGCGTCCACTGGGGTTATTAAATTTTTTTTTTCTACTAATACAGGTAGCGGCGGAGTGGAGAGGACAAACTGTTGGTGACATCGGCGACGAAAGCATTCAATGGTGCGCCTATTTTTTTCAAGCGACGAGATGGCGACGTCCGTGTGTTATTTTAATCGAAATCGACTTGGCTTTGGTTTGTAGCTATTCAACTAGAATAGAGCTGCTGATAAATACATTCAGCTAAAACGGATATTGTACTAGTCTCGTTCGCAGTGGTCATTTTGACACTATTTCGATGCACCAGCGACAACTATAGCGGCTACATCGGTAGGTGCATACTCTTAAGAGGGATCCAGTAGTAGGCAACCAGCCGACCGTCAAAAAATGCTTCGCTTTGATTCAAATTCAGGAGTATGTCTTATGATATGTGCCCATTATTGACAGGCCTCTAAGTATGTCCTAAGCCATCGTTATCTTAACATAGACTTAATTATAGATAGAATTTTTTTCTTTATTTAGCTCAATTATAACAAGCACTTTGTGATTAAATTGCGGGGCAAAGATAATAATGCTGTTCATCGTTCAGTGGAACTACTGAAAAGTGGTACTTGTATTTGGGTTTATTGCATCACTTTAGAACGACCGTTCGTGCAAAATTTGCCATCGTCACATTTATCACCATATAATTCAATATGTGCTATTTTTGCTGAGTTTTCGGATGATGTATGCTGTTGTCGACTACGACACAACTATATGTAGTAAAGTTGCTTCAGTCATCAATATTCTGTCTGATTTCCCTGATCTACCTACACGCTATGCAGGGTAAAATTATCAACCATCAAATTAATCATCTCGAAACCACAATTCATCCAACAAAACGTAATCCGGGGTCTTCCTGTTTAAACTATTTCGTTAATGTACCTAGTAGTCACAATATTTTTCCAACGTATACCAACACAAGATCATGCTTTGCGCTGTTGCCGTGTTCGTAAGTAAAGGTGTTCGTTAATATGTGTGTCATAATGGCTTGTAGTAAAGGTCGAAGCTTTCTACGAAACTTGTTCAACACGGTTTTTCCATTGGACGTTTCTGACACAGGACGGCTTGACGTCGGCTCACTAAAACGTCTCTTAAAGCGCCATCAAGGTCTGGCTTCTATATGGTAGAGGTTGAAGCAAAAGCCTTCGCTGTCATGTAATGGCCAGCGGCTATATGGCTCCCCACAATATGGGGTGAACTGTGTTGTAAATAGGTTAGGTGTAACGCAAGTAGGGTGTAAGCTGCCTCTCAGAGGAAACGCACTGTGAATGTAGATACACACCGGGTGAAATACGGGTGAAAACACGAAATATGTGAAAAGCAGCATGAAGCGCTGTGCTGACGCAAAGATGGCGTTCTTGCTTTGTCCTAGTCCAGAGTTGGCGTATTGAAGTACACGAAAACTGCTTGCTCCACAGGATGTCAGATTTTCATTAACACAGGAAGCTACCTCGAAATCTGAGGAGTTACACCTCAGTTACGAACTCAGCTTCGTCGGTTTCGAGTTAATCAAGTAAGTAAATGCGGCCGCAAAATAAAGTTTCCCAAGCTCACTAACACACATAGCAGATCTTAGGAGATTAAGGAAGAAAACTACAACATACCTGCAGGAGGAAATCCTTTTCGTCAATGTTATAATAGTAATAAAGATACAAAACGGCGTGTCACAGACAGGAATCGGCCCGCCTCCATTATAAGGACTAAACAGAAAGTCTCTCGTAAATCTTCGACCCGAGTTGGCCTTCGCCTCCAGTTAGTTGTATCCTTCTGCAGAAATAAACTAAATTCTCAAAATGTGCGAAAGAATATACACCGTATATGAACAGACTGAGCCTGGTTATTTGTTTCATTGTGACTTAGAACGCCCCACGTCAATATCACGTTTACTTTCATTAGACGAGGGCGTTATTGCAAAATTTGCTTTAAGACGCTTTGCGGACATTATCATTACTTATCTGACATTAAAAAAGCATTTACGGCTATAATAACAATGTTTATATCCTTAGTTTGTCAGTCTGTGCACGTTCGTTTTTTTTTTATGTCTACAGGGCAGAAAATAGACTTGTAGCAGGAATAGTTTTTACTTTTGAGGCTACTTCCGATTGATAGGTACGCACTTTAGGTAAAAATGAAATCGCGCGGCTGCAACTCCTTAATCGAGTTCACCCGAAAATCGGTACTGATGGTGTTGCTACATTTGGATGAGATACTTCTATGTCTCGATTTATGCTTGTACGTTGAATGACCAAAGAAACCCTTTCTATGATTCTTTCACTTCGTTCATTTTTACAGCGAAATCTCAATTCAAAAACACGCATGAGTTTTGAGAAAATACAAAACGTCCTGCCCCTACTGATTTCTGTTGTGCCGTATAGACCTGCGCCCTCATTCAAAATGTCACTTCCTAACATAGATGAACTATCATGCAGCTTGACCGCGTACATGCCGTACCTGTGCATCGAGTTCGGATCGAAGGTTTCAGTCAGTGGCCTGCGTCTACGGCTATCAGTACCAGCTGTGGATCTTAATACAAATAGGCATTTAAGTTTGATACTATGCGTGCACATTTTGCTGAAACGGAATCGGTCTGAAAGCACTAATGAGTCACCAACGCATTGTCCAGATCTGAGCAACACCGTTGTGATGTCTCATCGTAAGTTTGACGACTGCGACACTTTTAGATGGCGTCGTTGCAGATGGCAAAAAACTATCGAAACTAACTGGTGCTCCAAACTCTGAACAAGGGAGGCAACTTTCAAGTTCATTTACGTTGAAATTACCTCTAAGATAAGATCGGTGTTCAGATGTGTTCAAATGTGGATAGCACGTTTATGATGTGTGTGTGTGCAAATGTTCTCACCTGTGTACGTATGTGTGTCAAGGTGTGGGTGCAATGTATTCTGGCACCCGGTGACACAAATGAAAAACCGATCGAAACGAACAGACAAAGCGGATTTGGCCGCCATGGCGAATGAACTGGACTAGTTGCTGGAGGCCGACGAGTCAGCCTGTGCAGCCCTGTAGGTATCAAAGGCAAACATCGACCATGCTTAAGTTCCGTCAGTCGATGAATCACTTACAACAAGCCGATTCATTCGAGCGGTAGGGTCCCCCCTAACGACCATGTGATATTTGGAACAGTTGGGAATATCGACATGAAACATTTTGCCCACCCCACAACCCATTTCGTGTGCGATTGAGCAAATTAGATCTTTTCGAGGATGTGCTTATTGCGTGACGATAAATAAATCTCGGATGTGACTATAATATGTGCTGGGAAGACCCACTCTGGCTTCCGTCGGACATATACTTGATCGGATGACAATAACATTTGTAGCCTCATCTGAATTGTAGTCAGATGAGATTACAAACTACTCGCAAATAGAATCCATCTGCAGATTTTTGGTTTCCTTTGCGTTGACATGTTTACCCTGGTTAGAAGAATGCCCACCCGTCGCCATATACGAAACAACATTCGTGATTAAATAGAGATAGGTTTTTACTAATAATGTATAGGTTTGCTTCTCGGTTATACTTACTGAGGATACCGGTAGTCGCGACCGTGGTCTACATTTATCTAAATATAATTGCCGAACTTATGTACTCAGTAAAAGAAAATCATATAACGCTTATAAACACTCTAAATGGTATAACCCTAAGACAGAAAGCACGTTGCTGTGAAAGACGTAGGATCATAGACAACATCTATACCTTGCTTTTGTACGTAGCTACTGAAACAGTAAGAGATCTGCTGCTAGTTAAGGCGAAATATTTTTAGAGAGTATTTTTTATCGAGAGCCTTTCCTTTTAAAAATAAATGTTCTCCAATGCTATTCTTTTACCTCAATCTATATATGCACGTCAGCCAAACTTAAATTGACTCATAGATTTTGTACTATGCATATGTGTAATTTCCACCCTCTACGAAG